TGCGTGAGTGGCAAGCACTCTCCAAGCCGCTCATGGCTCATGCCCTTGGCGGGTTTTGGCGTCTGTCGCCCTGTTTGTCGATGCCTTGGCGGGTGTGGTAGTCACCCCCTTGCATGGCGTGAGTGATTCCCACTACGCACAATCCCCATCACCATTTTTTTGCTACACCACCCTTGGACACAATGTCATGTGTCATAATCACAATGCAGCACAAACCTGTATTGTATTGCTGTGTTGCCAAGTACAGTAAAACCTGTAACTAAAGACCACCGTGACTAGCGACCAGCCTGGTACTACAGTAAAACCTGTAACTAAAGACCACCGTGACTAGCGACCAGCCTGGTACTACAGTAAGACCTGTAACTAAAGACCACCGTGACTAGCGACCAGCCTGGTACTACCGACCACTTCGTCAGGCACGGACGGTCTCACATTCAAAATGCACTGTGACTAGCGACTATCTGCTGAACGCGACCAGCGACCGCCTTTTCTTGTCCCAATGTCGAATTTTGACCCGTAACTAGCGACCGCGATGTAGCAAATCAAACATTGCTCGAAGCTCTTTCTCGAAATTTTGATGATTTTCCATGGTCGTTTCGATACTTCAGCTGGACAAATGAACGCAGTCTCATTTTTACTGTGGAATCAGTGTGGACTGCACTACACCTGTCATAATTTCAAGTGCTGTCAAGAACAAACATGATAGGAAACGTCTTGGAGAGCGCATCCAAAGCGCTCTTTGATCGATGTTACTACTTGAAGGAGAAACTAAGACTGAGCAGCTCTCTGTCGAAGTGCAATCACATAGCTCAGTCACCAGGTCACACTGACAGTCTGTGCTGGCTAGCTAGCATGCTACGGTCGGTACATGTACTCACCTGTACGGAACACAGGCCAGGATATGATGGCGGATAATATTAATAGTCTACAGTGAAGGTGCGAAAACTCGCAACATCGCCACATCACGTACATGTAGATCTACTGGTAGACATACGGGTCAAAAGGTCGTATCGCTTCCAGTGTATAACAAACTTGATTTTCTCTCTCTCCAAGTGTTGTATGGTCTGAAAGAAGAATGTCAGTGCGCAAGTGGTGGGGGATTGTATTATCTGCATTTTGACATACATATCATATAATGGGATCCATATATGGTCGCGTGGTGCAGATCTCTAACTAAAGACCACCTGCCACTAAAGACCACTTTTCCGGGCACCAAGGGGTGGTCGGTAGTCACAGGTTTTACTCTACATGTAATTGTGCACTAGAGTAGTGTGTGTGTGTGCTACATGTATAGCATCGCACTATTCCTCTACCCTATGCTCTATACTCTATACTTTTAACCCATTGGTATGTAACGTAAAATCTGTTTTCTCCTATAATCACGCTGATTTTTGCCACCTCCTTTTCCTCGTGCTACTGAAATGTTGTACCTCCATCATGTCTGCCCTCTTTTCTCAAGACCCTCTGTATATATTCTAGTGATTGCTAGTCTTGGTCAGGCTGTCTGATGAGTGTTTCACACAAAACTTCGACTAACGGCGGAAAAGAACTTGCTTGCGAAATTGCTGTGGGATCATTATAATTTTGGCTATATTCAGCGCCAGCCCTAAATGCCTTAATTAAAATTCTGATGATTTTTTCACACCGGCATTGGTGTTGTGCCTGTACTAACCTCGTGCCGAAAATAAATCGCTGCCGAAATGTCGAAAATCGTGAAATCCCGAAATTTTGCAGCGCCGACATTTTGTCTTCGGCTTTGATCACATGTTGTGTTGTAAAGTTGTTCAAGTGCACAAGTAAAACAGTCTGGCTGTCCCAAGTTGGGAGGATGTCAAAGTTGTAACCAAGCATCATTTCCGAGCCATGGAGAGCTGCGTGGCTGGCAGCAGGGCGTGCGTGCATTAGCTAACTTACAACAGGAAAGCCAACCCAAACAGACCGAAGCCGCTTACCTCAGTTTCTGAAGGATAATGTGATTGTATTCCGGAACACGGTTGGCAAGGAACTTGAAAAGTTCATGGATTGTCATCTCCGTTCTGAGTTGCTTGATGAGGTAGAAAATGATGCACATCAGATTGGTGTGACCATGGCCAGCTCCAATCATCTTGCCCTCGTTCTGATCGTGGAAGTCGCTGAGCACAGTGTGGCTGTTGTTTTCAAGGTCAGGCTTGACCTTTTTGACAGCATCCCGCCCCAAGGCCTCTGCACAAGTACAAGAAAACGAAGAGTGAGACGTCACAGTAATTAATGGCTTTCTTCCGGGAAGGCTACTGCACATGCCTACTGTCCTCACAGGACTCGAGCAAGTAATATCAGTTCCTGTATTATGGAGATACTAGTTTCAGTTGTATACTGTAGTTCCATAACAACCCAATTCGAGTAACATCACCCTGATGTAGCGTGCTCCACTGTTCAAAGAGTGCTCAATACCCATATAGGGCAGCGCCTTCCACACACAAGAGAGAGAGAGAGAGAGAGAGAGAGAGAGAGAGAGAGAGAGAGAGAGAGAGAGAGAGAGAGAGAGAGAGAGAAAGGTACGGCTGGTGCGGCCATGGCCGTACCAGGTTTTACCAATTCCAGCGTTCATGGCAGCGCAGTATGCAATTGATAATCTGGAAGTATGAAATAATCTATCGTCATGTGCTCCTCTCTGACTAGAGTCTCTCATTTTTTAAATGTTCTCCTTGTCAAGCAAGATCTACTGTGCTAGCTGCATATCTGTTGCTACAGGAATATGTAGCTGAAACAAACACATGAATAGGGGCGCAAACAGAATACACTTTAGGCTTAGGCCGCATACCACCACACGATCTTCACGCTTTTGAGGGAGGCGAGGAGGAAAGCAGTATGATGATCATGAGCAGCGCCTCGCCCGCGAAGCGTGAACAGTTATTATTACGTATTAATAATGTGACGGCTGATGGAGAGAATTTTGAGAGGTAGTGTTAGTATATGTACTTATTTTCACATCCGCACTTGCTCACCACCTCCGATACTTTGTTGATATTGACATGCTAGTCCGCCTGCATGATCTCTAGCTGCCCTCTTAGGCGTAGATGACATCGAAGAGTGTCTCGGTAGTAGGCACTCCTTGTTAATGTTTGATGCTAGATAGTGCATGTCTGACAAGTCACAATCTTATCAAGTTGGTCACAACTCTCTAATGCACAACTTGTGCCCCACTTTTTCCAATTTTTCTAAATCCAAAGTTGTTGTATAATGGTGTGTTGTTTTCCTGTGTGAAGGCATTCCTCAAACTGTCTTCGTTTAGTCGCGTGCATGTGCGATATGAGCATGCGCGATGTTGTAGTCGAGAGTCCTTTTGTCAGTCTTCTTGTACGTCTCTTTGCATGTAGTCTGCGTTTCCGTCATGTCAATGAGATAATAATGTAACAAACAAGTCTTGTCCTTTGTGTCCTGCGTCCCGGGGAACGAAATGGCTGTGATTCCGTTACAAGTCAAATGCTAACTTACTCTTTTCTTCGTTGTTGAAGAAGCCAGTGAGTGAGTCGACAAAATCCGCATGCGACTTGATCTTCGAGAGACTAAAATACAAAGAGAAAGACAAGTACTTCCGTGACACCGTGCGGAAAGGCCAGGCTCACAACAGTACCATACTTTGCAACAGCATCATCGAGAGTAAACGAAGGTCCCAAGAGTGTGCAACTGTACATGGGTTTCCCATGGGTCCATTGACGGCAACAACTCACACCATGTGGTACAGTGGTCACATAGTTGTATGTTTCCAGCCCGCTTTTAGCCGAAGTGGAACAGTAAAAATAGCACTCCCTGACAAAAACATACTCAGGTCATGGGAGTCATCATCAGCAGGCATCCAAACTGTGACAACAGTATTAACACAGCCCTACTGGAAAACAGGTGTATGTAGCGCGTGCGACACCTTCGAGTACTAATTTTTTGACCCCGCCCGTCAAAGTGACTGGTACCGGTATGTTTTATTTAATGGTGTACTAGCTGTGCTAGTACTTGTTAGCAACAATCCGAACTAGCGCACACACTGCACTGCATTGCTTTGTACTGCATTCAAGACTGACGTCATGCGCTTTGTTTTGCTGCGTAATCACAAATGGCACCAGCCCATTTTTGCGGAAAAGAAAAAACAAATCTTGCTTGCCCTGTTGTGCTCTTCCAGACAACGGATCGTGCTTCAGCAGTGTTTCTTTTCCTTTCGTAGCTTTGCTGCCAGCCCGAGTGTCACCTCGACACCGTAGTTCTTCAGTATGTCTGACCTTACTGTCGCCACTGCCAAGGCAATGCCTTGCCAAGCCCTCCGCGGCGAGCCTTCTCAGCGCGGCTTGAATCCGAAAGGAAACTTAGTAAAAGTATTTTACAGGACCGTTTGCTGGCACAACTAGCCCTTGGTAGTGAGGTCTGCTCCGGCCAGGAGAACCAGCAACATGACAGTGCGGACACGGCTCGCGAGCCCAGAAGCCTGACGTGCACCAATGCCTCCTCCGCCAGCTCAGGCGACGCGGGCTCAACGGATCTCTGCGCTCCCGTACGGGACGAGGTGTAGTCGGCTTTGTCGGCCGCCATTTTATTATTATCGGAGAGCATTGTGCCGCTCCTCACCCAAGGCCAAGGCAATGCGGCAGCTGCCGCCACTACGCCAGGCCAAGCTCCTGTAACCCACCCGATCAGCCACCTGCACCAGCTGTGCCCAAGGCTGTGCAAGAACGTATCTTGCGAGGGGAGTTCGTAGATTTTTTCAAGTTTGTTGCCTGAAATTCTTGCACACTTCCGGCCCAACATTCCGGCTGGTGCACAGCCCGAATAACGATAGCCAGCTAAATATCGTTGAGTCGGATGACGCGAAGCAGGTGCGTCGCAAGGTTCACGATAATTACACATGTAGCTACCCGGCTCGAGGCATGGACCACATACATGTCTGTTATCACGGCTGCTGCCCTACACCGCACTGCTGAACTGATTGCGTACCAGCAGTTGATCCTGACTGCTAACCGCCAGTTCTTCCCAAGCGCGTGGCTAGAGTACGACCGCCAGCTGCAGATGCTCGTGGCCCAGTAACCAGGCACGAAGAGGTTGGACACCATCGACGTGAACCTATGGCAGATAGCTGTCACAGGCCATGCACACCCAAAATGCGCTCAATGTAAGACGGTCCATCCAGGGGCGGTTTGTGTCCTTTTCGTCCCGAAGCCAGCAGCATTGACCTCCAGTGGTCGCAACCATACCAGCGACGGCCAAGAAATCTGCCGCAACTTCAATGGAGGTCGCTGTTCTTCGTCGTCGTGCCGCTTCTCCCACACCTGCAGCCAGTGTGGCAAGGACCACCCATGCATCATGTGCAACCAGCAGCAGCGCGGAGCCAATCGGCCACCCCGCCGCTCCTAGCAGAATGGCTACTGAATCGCTTGACTCGGTACGTAGCTTCTTTCCTATACACTCTGCAGACACCACACTGCTAGCTGACCACTTTGCCCGCCTGTTACGTAACCACTCAGATCAATCATGTGTTGCGTATGTTCTCCATGGCCTGCGCCGTGGCTTTACTCTTGGATCTGCCGGCCAACACGACATTTCGGTTTTCTCTAATAATCTACCATTGGCTTTCACTCACTCGGCATTTATATCCGAGCAATTAGCCGCTTCCTGCGCCCGCAGCGAGACCACAGGCCCATTTCCGTCACCTCCATTTCAGTTTATGCGCCGCTCTGGTATTGGTGCCATCCCCAAAAAGAACGGCAAGCCGCGAATGATCCACCATCTGTCTAGTCCGGAAGGCACCGGCGCGAACGACAGCATTCCTGCCGAGCCGCTCTCTCTGCACTACGCGAGCATTGACAACACGATCAACATCATCATGTCATGCCCACAGCCTGTGTATTTATCCAAGCTCGATGTACGCAGTGCATTTCGGCAGATCCCAGTCCGCCGTCAGGACTTCGCTGGGAAGGCTCCTACTACTACGAGCGCTTTCTGCCTTTCGGCCTCCGCTCCTGCCCAGCCGTCTTTGACTCAGTAGCCACAGCAGTCAACTGGATCATGCAGCACGAGTTTGCTATAGATCACCGGCTTCACTACCTCGATGACTTTTTCGATATCTCCACTGGTTTGGCTGCAGCCAACCAGCAACTCACCATCCCCCTCCGGGCGTTCACGTATCTCGGCACTCCTCTTTGCTCCATCCCAGCTCGAAGGGCCATCACCATCATTGACCTTCCTTGGTATTGTCCTAGACTGCGAGCGCCACGAAGCTCGGCTACCAGAGGACAAGCTGTCCGAGATCCGTGCGCCACTCATGGCTACTATCAGCGAGCGCAGCATCGGCCAGCGTCAACTCGAGTCCCTCCTGGGGAAGCTCACTTTTGCTGCCCGAGTCATCGTTCCTGGACACACATTCATGCGTGAACTATGATCAGCGTGCCCTGAACTGTATCTGTGTATGCGAGTGTGCTGCATAAAGCCCACCTTGAGAATGGGTTTGCCGGCCCCTTAGTAGATGCGTGGCTTCTGAAGAGGGTGTTGAAGGGCATCCAGCGATGCCATGGTACGGCTGTACTCACCCCTCGCCTTCCTATAACTATGCCAATCCTACGACACCTGACGGATGCACGCCGGAAAAGTAGTATCCTGAATGGCCATGACAAGCTGCTCTACCAAGCCGCCATGCTGCTTCTTTGGATTTCTTCGGTGCGCTGAATTCACTAATGGCATCACACGGGGCTGTACTAGCTCCCCTGGTGACGGACGCCTGCAACTCTTCCTGCTTTCATCCAAGACGGACCCATTCGGTAAAGACGTTACTAGTGACATTGGCCCGTCTGTACCGCCGTACTGCCCGGTCCGTGCCATTGTTAGCTACCCATTTGTCACTCGTCGCGAGGGACCGGAGCAACTCTTGTTCGTACTCTCGAACAGACAGCAGCTGACCAGGCAGTCATTCACAGTAACAGTATGGTATCTTGTCGCTGCGGCCGGTGTACCATCCCAGTCGAACTACTCCGGGCATTCGGCCCACATTGGTGCAGCCACCACCGCTGCTATGGCTAGTGCCCCTGACTCCTTCTTCCGAGTGGCAGGTCAGTGGAAAGAGCGATGCGTGTCTATGCTACATCCGGACTACAACAAGCGCATAGCGCCAGCTATCGTCCCGGCTTGCTGCCGTGCCATGGATGCCATGATCCCCAACTCGGGTGAGTAATGAGCTACTGAACTCTAGCTGCGCAATGCTTGCCTGTGCTGACATTAATTGACCCTTGCTGTGCGTCAATAGTGCTTAGCTAACGGAGTGCTGGTTTCATGGGTCCACTCTCACAACTGGTGTTATCTAGCTATTTGCTGCGGCTCTGCCTTGCGCTATATTACATCCATTTAGCATTGCAGCTCTACGTTGAGCTAACAGCAGCTCTACTTTGAGCTAACAGCAGCTCTACTTTGAGCTAACAGCAGCTCTACTTTGAGCTAACCGCAGCTCTACTTTGAGCTAACCGCAGCTCTACTTTGAGCTAACAGCAGCTCTACTTTGAGCTAACAGCAGCTCTACTTTGAGCTAACCGCAGCTCTACTTTGAGCTAACAGCAGCTCTACTTTGAGCTAACAGCAGCTCTACCTTGAGCTAACAGCAGCTCTACTTTGAGCTAACAGCAGCTCTACTTTGAGCTAACAGCAGCTCTACTTTGAGCTAATCGCAGCTCTTCTTTGAGCTAACAGCAGCTCTACTTTGAGCTAACCGCAGCTCTACTTTGAGCTAACCGCAGCTCTACGTTGAGCTAACCGCAGCTCTACTTTGAGCTAACAGCAGCTCTGCTCTGAGCTAACACCAGCTCTACTTTGAGCTTCAAACCAGTTGTTTCGAAACCAGCACTCCTCAATCCAAAGATGCCTCTTTGTTGACTTGTTTGTGTGAGGGATGGGGCTAATGGTGTACTAGCTGTGCTAGTACTTGTTAGCAACAATCCGAACTAGCGCACACACTGCACTGCATTGCTTTGTACTGCATTCAAGACTGACGTCATGCGCTTTGTTTTGCTGCGTAATCACAAATGGCACCAGCCCATTTTTGCGGAAAAGAAAAAACAAATCTTGCTTGCCCTGTTGTGCTCTTCCAGACAACGGATCGTGCTTCAGCAGTGTTTCTTTTCCCACCATCCCTCCCTATCCAACTTATTCACACCATCATAATATTATCGCACCCACTAACCGGGTCCACTCTCACAACTGGTGTTATCTAGCTATTTGCTGCGGCTCTGCCTTGCGCTATATTACATCCATTTAGCATTGCAGCTCTACGTTGAGCTAACAGCAGCTCTACTTTGAGCTAACAGCAGCTCTACTTTGAGCTAACAGCAGCTCTACTTTGAGCTAACCGCAGCTCTACTTTGAGCTAACCGCAGCTCTACTTTGAGCTAACAGCAGCTCTACTTTGAGCTAACAGCAGCTCTACTTTGAGCTAACCGCAGCTCTACTTTGAGCTAACAGCAGCTCTACTTTGAGCTAACAGCAGCTCTACCTTGAGCTAACAGCAGCTCTACTTTGAGCTAACAGCAGCTCTACTTTGAGCTAACAGCAGCTCTACTTTGAGCTAATCGCAGCTCTTCTTTGAGCTAACAGCAGCTCTACTTTGAGCTAACCGCAGCTCTACTTTGAGCTAACCGCAGCTCTACGTTGAGCTAACCGCAGCTCTACTTTGAGCTAACAGCAGCTCTGCTCTGAGCTAACACCAGCTCTACTTTGAGCTTCAAACCAGTTGTTTCGAAACCAGCACTCCTCAATCCAAAGATGCCTCTTTGTTGACTTGTTTGTGTGAGGGATGGGGCTAATGTTTTTTACCATAATTACTTTTTTCTGTGAGAACACTGGCATACACTGTACGCACGGTACGTGTAGTGTAGTATGAAACGTACTCAGAACATGTGCATGGTGTGGTCTCTTGCCGTCGGAGACCCCAAGTGCAGAGTTGCACACTCTTAGGAACTGCTGCACAGCCTAAAGCATGAGTCGCATGGTGCATAATACGTGTACGGCAGGTTTGGGCCAAGATCCTGCCAGTGGTTGTTGGCGTGTTGCATGGATTGGGCCCCTTTGCTGCGAAGTTCGTAAAAGAACTGGGCACCCCAGCCAGAGTCTTTGAGGAAGAAACACTGCCCAGAACAGTTGGCATCATTCGATCAGTAACCCAAATGAATGTAAAAAATTAATAAAAAATATTTTTAAAGGATTGGGAGAGCTTCAAAATTCAAAGAATCAGTCGGGGAAGTGAACTGCCTGAAAAGAGAACAAATGCCAACCCCATCAAGACACGAACCCGGTCCCTTGCTTGTCATGAGCAATGCTCTCAGCCATCGGAGCTATGGGACCAGACCGAAGGCTAGAAGGCGCTGTCAAGCCTTCACTCCAAACTCTAAAGGCAGCTCACAACACGTGCCACATTACATACTGATGGCACTTGGGTGTTTTCCCTCCCCTAGGGGACCAACCACGGTCAATTTCTGGAACGCACTACCAGCGGTGAAAGAATTAATTTAATAATTATTGTAACGTTACACTAACCACCACGTCGATTAGAAGGTGACATTGGCTATGGCCCAGTATGGGGATGAGGTTGGCTTTCTTCTCCCGTTTCTTTTTTTTCTCTTTTTTCCTCACATACATGTACAGCAGCAGTACTGCCCATGGTCTCAATTGACCCAGGATGCTGCCTCAGTTATCCAGACACAAAACCAGTACTCTGACTCAGGGTTCTAGCCAAATGGGGGGGGGGGGGGGGGTGTAGGGGGTGTAGGGGGCACATACATATTTTTGTGTATGGCGCTGCTTCTAAACTACAACGGAGTGCATGCGCACTGCGCTGGCATTTAGAATACCATGGATCTGGAATAGGAAGTACGTTGTCATGGATGCCATACGGTGCATGTGTTGCTTACCCGACTTCACCGACATCACCGAGTCCGTCGCCACCGGAGCCAGACGAAGGCAACTTTGCCGCTTGCGTCCTCAGAATCAAGTCTCCCTCACCCTGCATTCAGAACAGAGCCAAACCAGCAGGGATTGTCATATGATGTGTTTGTCGCATGACGTGTTTGCAATACTTTGCATGCTTGCAGCAGAAAATGCACACCCACCCGAGCCAAAGTGAAAACAGAGTTTTCTCAGCCAGTAGTCGCACCACGAGACCAGCCAGAGACCACGCAAGTTGCGCTCAGCCCTGGCTGACCCCTGAACAATGTCACTCTATGCATGTATGTATAGATTATAACAGGGGACCTCGTGTATATAGAGATATATACACCAGTATAAAAACAGAGGCGAATCCGAGGTTTTTATAACTGGTGCGAGTGTGTATCTCGATATACACGAGGTCCCTTTGTTATAATAATTATAATTGTACCTCTCCATATTCACCCTGTGTGGCCAACTAAATGGCTTGTCCCTCGCTGATAACTACTGCTAATTTCCCTTAGTGGTGTATATGGAGATATATACACCACTAAGGGGGGCATGTCTAAGACTGTGGGTGTATATGGAGTGAGGTGTAAATTGATTATTATATTTTATTATTATATTTTTAAGGATTCTCCAGAGGCAAATGAATGCCTATCAAAGGGAGTCTCCTGAGGAGAGGAAGTGAAGGGAAGTGAAGGTGGCTGTTATGAGAGAGGGAGGAAGGCATGTGACGCAACACAAGCCACAGCGTGACGTTGAGCAGGTTTCTCAGCAGCTGAGCAGTAGCAAGCTGGTGCCTACTAGTATTTCGGATGAATGCGCTGTAGTGTGTGCAACCTGTGCAGACCAGGTGGCTAAATCAGAGTTGAGTGGATCTGATACTGATAAAGGCTTCACCAGCACCATTAATTACACAAGAATTAACCTAGCCAGAAGTAGCTCATTGTTCAACAGGGACTGTATTTTCTGGAGTATACATCGAGCTTTAAACACTCATTTAATTTAAGGTTAAGGCCATGATAACAATTACAGTTGGTTCCTGGGCATCAGCGTGTGAAAATCAGTGAGAGCGGGTGGATTTTTATATCACACGGAGAAAAGTTTCTCAATGCAACATCGACCGGTTGATGTTTCATTCCCGGATCCTGCTACACACAGCTAGACTGCAGCCTCGGACTGCATGCAGTAGACATGACAGAACACAGTACACATTGGAGTCGTGTTTCGCGCAGCCACACTAGGCTACACTAGGCTACACTAGGCTAGGCTAGGCTAGGCTACACTAGGCTAACTTAGTTAGGCTAGGCTAGGCTAGGCTACACTAGGCTAGGCTACGCTAGGCTAGGCTACACTAGGCTAGGCTAACTTAGGCTAGGCTAGGCTAGGCTAGGCTAGGCTAGGCTAGGCTAGGCTAGGCTAGGCTACACTAGGCTAGGCTACACTAGGCTACACTAGGCTAGGCTTCACTCCTCAATGGGAGACATGCGTACAGTGGTAAGCAGTGCGGTGATTGCATATGATCTGATTGAAGTTCACAGTCACAGTGATGTGGCGTTCTGTTCTGCACACGCTACAACCTAGGCTTTTTTATTTAATTTTTTTTTTACAACCTATCCTTACATACTGTACAGAAATAAAAATACAGCTTCTGGTGTGCCGCCAAACATTGACGCGAACGTACTCGAGAGCCGAACATACTTTCCCCATGGCCTACATGTTGGATGGTCAACCGGACTGTGCACAAAGTAGCCTGCGGTAGGTTGCGTAACTGGAAATATTTTTCATTAACTTAATTTATTTTTATTAATTTATTTTATTTAAAAAAAAACATGCACAAGTTCTCAAAAACAACAGTGCACTGAGACGACCATATATGGCGACACAACCGGGCGCATGCGTATGGATATCGCACATTGGATCAATGACAGGACATTTTGATACAAGTCACTTTTTCTCTTGCTCAAGGTCGTTCCTTTTCAGTTGCACCCGCCGTTCAAAGCTGAATCATGGCAGTGTCGAAAAGTAGCGGCTATGAGACTCTCTTCAAGCTGAAAGTCACTGAATCTGCCAAGCAAGTAGGTGTAATGGGTGTACTTAGGATAAGACTTTTGCTAAGACATCCATGCAGTATAAGATACTTCGTACCGTAATTCCCCGATTACAGGCTGCACTAGATTATAAGTCGCACCCCCATTTTTCGGTTTGAGCAATATCGTTGGGATATATTCACTTCAGTAGTAAGTCATGCTCGATTGTAAGTCGCACCACTTTTTTTACCCTGAATTTAAGTGTAAAAAGGTGCGACTTATATTCGGGGGAAAACGGTACTCTCCATTTTGTATTTCCCACTTCTTTGCCAAAATGATTATTCCGAACCCATCTTGGATAGAAGAGCGCATGCTCCAGTGGTCCTTGCCTTCATTCTTTTCTTATTCGTACTATTCATTCCTGTGTCATTATAACTCCGTCCTATCATAAAGCTATAAAACCTGTCCCATGAGGGTGCCTCGGGAAAGGACTTTTTAGCCAAGTGTTAGCTACTCTGGTTAAACATTATGATAGGACGGAGTTACATGACACTGGAGCATGCGCTCTTCTATCCCTGATGGGTTCTAAATAATCACTTTGGCAAAGAAGCGGGAAATACAAAATGGAGAGTACAGAGTATCTTAAACTACATGGATATCTTAGCATACCGTAAAAATTGCGGATAAAAGCCGGGTTTGCATACAAGCTATACAAGCACATCCCGGATAGAAGCCTGAAAATCTAACGGGTCAAATGCATATAAGCATGTCGCGCGTAGAAGCCTGGCTTCTATGCAAGCGCGGATCGGGTAGGTCAAGAGTGCATGCGCTATGTACGGTGCATAGTAAAACTGCCGCCGTACCGGTAGTCAGTGGTAGATCTACGCGTGTCGCGCGCAGAAGCCTGGCTTCTATGTGCATACAAGCCTGGCAAAAACATTAGTGGTGCATATAAGCATGGCTTGCATACAAGCCTGGTTTGTATTAAAGCCTGATGCAGAAAGCGGCTTATATGCTTATAAGCCCGGCTTTTATCCGCGACTTTACAGTAAGTACCAAAGGCTACTTAGGCTATCGTGCTGCTGGCCGTAAATTCCACATTGATGAACGCAGGGTTTGCCGATGGCGAAAAAACCCTAAGTCGTCAGCAATGAAAAGAACTGTTTACGCAGCAAATGAGGGATCCGGCTTATAGACCGAATACAGATAAGATGTCGATATTTCGTGACCAAAAAGATCTGGGTGCGGCTTATACTCCGGAAAATACGGTTTTTATACATTGAATAGAAAATATAGATCCTGAAATTAAGCATGCATTACACATGCACACACGTACACATGCATGCACCATGCACGCACACACGTACACATGTATGTACCATGCACGGACGCTAGCATGCACACACACACATCCACCACATTCGCTTGCACACACACACACACACACACACACACATGCTTGCACCATGCACCATACACCATGCCCGCACACACGTACGCATGTATGCACCATGCACGAACGCTCACATGCACACACACATGCACCACATTCGCATCCACACACACACACACACACACACACACACACACACACACACACATGCTTGCACGCGTGAACACGCACACATACACACAGATAGTGACAAACACACAAGCAAACCGATATAAACACATACCTGCTCAAGACCGAGCCAAAACTTTGCTGCTTCGTCTATCACCCGCGTCACTGGAAGACGGTAAGGAAGACGGCAAACAGGAGCTAAATCCACAGTCACGTCGCGGAGAGCATGTGGGCAGCTGTTGTTGCAGGACTTTCTCCCATGCTCCAAGCATTTCACGCCAGAAGGACGCTTACAGTTTGGTGGGCATGGAAGAACCTTCACAACGCTTGCCTGCAGCTCGCCCTTTCCCGACCATTCACTTAGCACATTCTCAACAGTTGACTTGAGCAGTGCTAGCGCTGTCTGGCCTGTGCTGGCACAATCCTGTGCTTCTGAGCTCCGCTCCAGACAAACTCTTAGACCGAACCGGGCATAGCTAAGCCGTAACCACTGCCCACCATCCTTGATCCAGTATACCCGCACTCCATTGAAAGATACACTACAATTGTCGGGGCGTGGCGACTCCTTCAGCATCTCAACCGCGCATTGCCAGTACAGAAAGACAGGAAACGGGATTTGTTGTCCTTCTTCCCCTGTCATCTCAAGACATACGTATGCTGGCGGTGACAGAATTGCAGATATGTCTTCTTCTAGTGCTTCCTTGGGTACTACTGCTGGCATGATGAACTCTTTCTTCTTTTGTCCATTGCCAACAGTGCGCTGAGTGATAACTAGGACTGACAGCTCTTGAAGGATATGGAATGCATTGTCCCATTCATCTCGATGGTTCTGAAGCAGTTTCCACTTTGCTGTCTTCTCTGCCGCGAGTTTTTTGGCAAATTGGTTGAAGGCAAACCTGGCCAAAGCTTCAGATATGAAGCCCTCGCCATAGCGTTGTTCATCGTCCTCAGACAACGGCGACACGGCATCGCAGCTTTCCTCCAAGTTGACGTGTGCCAGGGCAGTCACACAATCCAGGACAAATTGCTTGTCCAGAATAACGAGGTGTTTGAGTTCATGAGTGGGGAAGTATGCCAAATGACCGGACTCGTGGCCATACTTCAGCAGTTTCTTCATCCCTTCATCATCGTCTCTCTCGATGGCATCCAGGTCTTCAGCAATGCCTTGAACCCTTTTGAAGTCCAGCCATGGTACCTGGATGGTTGTCTTCAACAGCTCAATGGCCATACAAAAGCGCAGCCATGTCACAGGAATGTCGAGCCTGCTGGCTTCACAGCGATCAGCTATGGCCTTCTTCAGGGCCTTCGCACCATCATCGTCACCTGACTTGGACTTGGTGTTGTCGACTAGGAAGTGTGACTCTTGATTCGATACAAGTCGCTTGTACCGCGATTCCTTGATCTTTTTGTGAAGCAACTCTGTCGGATCTGGCAGGGTTTCCTTGACCTTCTTTTCGTCATAGTGGTCTCCATGACAACCGACCA